GAATGAAAATTCAGCTTTGCCATCACAGGAATAATTGCATTAAAAAAAAAGAAAATTGTAAATTTATAAAATATTAAATAAATGCAGCTTTGGTGACCTTAAGAGTGTTCTTTCAAAAACTTTACTAACATTTTTTTTTCTTTTACCAAAAACCAAAACTTTAAATGGTTTCAATGACTTTAAATGATATATACAGTCAATTGTTTCATTCCTGAATTGGTTTAATGAGTGAATCAATGATTCACAATATGGGTATATACGGAGTATAGTGAATGATATATTTGCTGTATAAATAGTGAATGTGTACAGACAGTATAATAATAATTCAATTGACTGTTTATGAGTGAGTCATTGAATCTTTTGTTCAAATGATTCATACAAAAAATCTGATTAATTCAGGAAAGAGTGTTTCTTAGAGTTTCGCAAAGCCTCTTCTGTGGCTATGTTCACTATTTGCGTTGAGGAGCAAAAATGGAGAAAATAACTACAAATAGTGAGTCTAAAATGTATGTTAATTAAAAAAGTTATGCCATTACTGTATAATCAAGTCGGGAAAATCGACATGATAATTGTCAAAGAAAATACTTCCTGACCTTAGAAATGAATTGAATAAACTTAACTAAGGTTAAGGTTAACTTAACTAAGCACCCAGTAAAGCACTTTTCCACATCACAAAACGGCCTTGTAATGGAGAGAGGGAGAAAATGAATAATGGTAATTGAAGTCTGGAGTCTGTATTATGGTGTGAACTCTGTTCACTGTCTGTTCATTTGAGTTTAGAGTTTGGAGCAGCAGCATGGTAATGAACAATCATGTTCCATCGTGGTCCATTGAACTCTGATGGGGCTGATACAACATCATTCTTGTCATTTACAGACCTTCCATGAGCGGAGGGGAACTGCTTTTGGCTTGATGGATTATAGATTCAATTTATTTCCTGCGTTCGGTTAACTGACATTTTGGGCCACAGAAAGAAAATGACTTGCTATTTTTAATTGACTTGCGTGTGTAATGTTCAACACTGTGGGTTTATGGGAGATGTTCGAAAGGAAATGGGGTAGCGCCCTAAGCCAGGAGCGCTTCCCTCCTCCCTTCGGGGTGGGCGGCAGCGGGACCGACGAAGTGCTAAATTGCTCTGCGTGAGTTTGGTCACGGCTGAGCTCTCCTTGAGATAATGAAATGACAATTAATCCAAAAGCTGTTGCTACTCACTCATTTACTCCCTTGCGCTCTTGTAAGTGGAGGAAGGAAGAGAAGAGAAAACTACGGCCAAGAGAGGAATGCTAAAGCACCCCTTTGGGACCTTCATTTGATTTGACACACAAACTGACATAGATGGGAACCGGTAAAGAAACACAAACGCATGAATGTGTGAGAGCACACTTGCATGACCACCCATTATTAGCCAGTTTTTTATTTTTTATTGTGAACCCCAGAGAAGAATGATGCGAAAAGGCCACAACCAACACCAACTGCTCTAATCAGACAGGAATTTAAGAAAACAAAGGTCAAAGTGTCAGTTTGGGGTTGTCAAAGTACAGTAGAAAAAGGTGCACATCTGCTCTAAGCAGACAACAACAGTTGAAAGGGTCTCACATCTATGACTGGACAACAGAGATAAGAAGTAAATGGTGATGAGCTGAAATGATTTCTATAAGGCCGACTGGGGGAGTCAATGAGGTGGAGAAACCTAAAAAAGAAGTAGAAAAAATATCGGTTTCACTTTATTTTGATGGTCCCTTTAACACATTCGGTTGTCTATAAGCAGGGTTGGGGAGTAACGGAATACATGTAATGGCGTTATGTAATCAGGATACAAAAATCCAGTAACTGTAATTCGTTACAGTTACGTCAAAAAACGTAGTAATCAGATTATAGTTACTTTTTAAAAAAAGGGGGGGATACTTTCAGGATTACAATGGTTTCATTTAAAACTAAATAAATCTGTATTTTGGCATAATAACACTATTAAGCGTTGCTTGATTAATGACTCACGACACGAGTCACGTGTGCCACCCGCTGGTGCATGCGCAAAATAACAGCTCTCTATACAACAATCTCCTCAGACACAGATTGAATCACTGTGCTAGAAACGATGCTGCCCACGGCTAAAAATGCTTTCATTTCTTGGAAATTCCGCTGCTATTTTGTTTTTAAAGAAGAAAATGCCAACAACATGGTTGTACAGTGCAAACTGTGCCTTCCAGCAACGAAAACACTTTCTTTATCGAAGGACTTGACATCCAACCAAGCGGCAACATTCTAATCTGAAAAATGAAGCCTACCCGGAAGTGCGAAAAACTGCAATACATCGAAAATCCGCTAGGGGCAGGTCCCAAAAGGGAGCAAATGTCCATAGACCCCATGTTAAAATGTCCGCTTTCACATAAATTCATGTTTTTACAGGTTGGTCCCATGGACTTTTATTGTATTTTTCGATAGGTTCCGAGTGCCTGACAACTGTGAGGGGGGTGAATTTTTTTCTAACTCGTTAGTTTAGATCATATTTAGATATAAAATGTATGACAAATAAGGGCGTGGTTAACTTTGATTGACAGCTTGATTGACAGCTGATAACGGGCTGTGCCGAGTGGAATTCCTGAAATTTGACGTCTCGGCCATGATCTGACACAACACATCATACCACCTCTGTATACTTTCTGAACATTTGTATTGAAATATCGTACATAAAATGGGTTGCTCTGCTATAAACTGCACTAACCGACACTGTAGGAGTACTTCGCTCCATTTTTTTCCGGTAAGTGACATTCCACTTCTATTTCACGTAGTTAGCACTATTTAGCATCAATGTTTGTGGGCAGTTGCACTGCAACAGTTAGCATTAAATCGCCGTTAGCGTCCAAGGTAGGGACAGGTGGGGTTTTGGGGTGCTAATACAATGCTAAATCATAAATCATATGTACCTATGTACAATAACATACAGATGTCCAGCAATCGATTTAAATAGTACATTGTGTTTAATTAGTCGTTTATTGAGATCTAATATGTCGTTGTTGGCGAGAATTTTCACGTGAAGAAATACATAGATCTGACAATCACATGCATGCACTTTAATGGCCCAGTGGCAGAACTTTTGCCAAGCGTGTCAGAGGTTCAGGGTTCTAATCCGCATTCGTATAGTTTTTTTTTCTCTCTCATTAAAACCGATTATGTTTATCAGTGGTTGTATATCAAGCAGGGACACGTTTGTGTGCATTTTACTTTGTGATTTCACCGGAACGAATAGAGAGTCTCCGCAATGGATTAAAGCGCGCGTCCGAGTTCAAAATTGGTGGGGACAATATCGACCCTGGCAAAAAGTGGTGGGGACATGTCCCACCCGTCCCACCCGCAAATTACGCCTATGCCTCTGGTTATAACCGGTTATAACTGACGTTTGAAACACTGTAAATGCGTCTGCCAAATGAATAAATGTAACATAAGAATAGACTGATATGTCCCACATTGTTCTTCAGCAGCTTTGCAGTGAATGTAGTAGCCATAGACTGTAAAAAGTAGCCTAGTCTGCCAGTCGATCTTGTAACGTTACAGATAGCTGAGGCTGCTTGGCTGAAGAGGCGCATCCACCGGCCGGCTCAGTCTCACACAAAGAAAAAATTTCCCAAGATTTTCAAAAGATGGCGCCGCCCATACCCCCCATAAACGGCCTTAAAACCGTTATTCAGAAAGTCTATGGGTGACGTCACAGACGCTTTGTCCATTTTTTTTTTACAGTCTATGCATCCAACCTAGCATTTGCATTCTCTATTTTCCTGTTGAAGAAACATTTCCATTGTCAACAGATATATAGTCAACAGAATGTTCAAAAGGGACCATCAAAATAAAGTGTTACCAAAATATCCAAAAGAAAATGAACACATACACTTCCCATTCAAAGGTTTGGAAGCATAGATGCATTCATTAAAAAAAAAGTGTATTACGGGTTCATCAAAAAAATTAAGCAGCAATAATAATAGGAAATGTTCCTTGAGCACCAAATCAGCATATTAAAATGATATCTTAAGGATCATGTGAGACTGAAGACTGGAGTAATGATGCTGAAAATACATCTATAACATCACAGGAATAAGTTACATTTTAAAATACAGTAAATGCAAAACCGTTATTTTACAATTAAATAATGTTTCACAGTATTACAATTTTTTAATTAAATTACTACTGCTATTTTTTACTGTATTTTGATAAAATAATAATTTGAGCCTTCCGGCTTCAGAAAGTGGGGATTTTTCATTATACCAATGACAATTTTGTCAGTATATTATTAAAGATAGCCAGGGGACATCATATGAAACCTGTTGTTGTGATCGAGTAGATTGTTGAAATGGGTAATTTATTTAGTATAAAAATCCCTTTTTGTATCTCATAGGTAACAAAATCAAGATGAACAATTGTTTAAAATGGTTCAATGAGCAATAAAAAGTGGCAACACAAAAAGCAACGTGCTTTGTACATGTTTAATAATTAATTTATCATTTCAAATAATTCATGTATAATGTCATCTAACAGTCATCTAACAGTGTTTCCAACCATGTTCAAGATTATATAGCCAAAACATTGATTTGGGAATGCATAAACTGATGGCTGATAAAAAAAAATACTTTGAATGCAAATTAAGTCAATTTGAATAAAAACATCCATTATGCATGGCACCAGGATAGACAAAGGTGTAATACACAGCCATTTTGTTTCAACAAACACAATACTTAATACTTAAACTGAGCAAGTGAACAATCAATGACACATTTTCAAATAGGTTTATGGTCTACCAGTCAGGTAATTGGTAAAGGGTGAATACTGAAGTGAGCGTCTAATGAATGACAGCATGTTGAAAATCTCACTGTGTGCTGTCAACTGAATCTAATAAACAAACCTGTAACAATAATTGTGTTCATAGACTGTTACCGAAAGACTCCTTTTACATACCAAACTGCTTTTTGTGTGACATAATGCAGTAGCTTTCCAAGAAGTCAATAACATACCTGATAATGGCTGGCTTTTGCAAGCTCCTGATTGGCTGAGTCCACGTGTGATGAAGTGGTCTGAATGTAGTCTTCAATGCTGTCTGGGAAGAGAAAACAAGCATTAGCCTAATTTTGTTGTTGTCGTCATGTTTTTTGAGGTACACAATGTTACAATGTGATCAGGTTATTCAGACTTTTTCCAAATGATTTTCAGCCTATGTGTGCAAAACCTTAAAATTCATAAGAGAATGTGTGACTCACTCATACACATACACAAAAAAAGAATGTCCAAGCACGGGGTGTACCAGAGCACCTTTATTAACATACCCTCTCATTCATGTTCTCTTTCCCAGGGAGAAATGGATTAGAGAGCAAAGTGCCCAATGTTAACGCTGCCAAAAACTAAAGCTGCATTACATTTTGTGGTCTCAATACACCATCATCACAAAAGGCCATGTTGAAAGGAAGAGTTCAGCCAAAAAAAGAAACTTCTGTCATTATTTACTCACCCTCATATTGTTCCAAACCAGCATGCTATTATTTGTTTTCTGTTGAACACAAAACTAGAGATGCCATACAACAACATAATTTACAGTGACCAGCAGGGACAGCCAAACAAGCAACATACATTTATAAAATGAAATTATAAAATTAAATACTAATATATAAATTAATTATTATTTTATAAAAAAAAAAAAATGTAATTGTTTTTTTACATTATTTAAAAACAACCAAAATAGTTCTTAAGCCATACAATAACTTTGCATTTAGAGGAAACTGCCCAAAAATGTAATTTTTCACTGCATAACCTTCATTCATATTGAGAATAATAATAAAAAAGGGCATCACATTCAATTACAACTAAAAACAACAAATGTTTTGGTGTCAGATGAGAATGTTAATTTTTAGGTGAATTATAAGGTGCTCTTCATCACAGGGATTAGCCTTGCAGGATGCAGTTGTGCCATATGAATTATTAAGATTCAATTCTACATTGTTTTGGGAAGCATTTACTGCCTTACTGGTCTGTGAAATGAGAGTGTTATTCTAAAAATCTGTGAAAGTACTTTAATGATTATCAGTAGTGTGACCATTTGAAGCATACACAAATAGTTGTTGCATCTCTTATAGTACCAAGGCAAGATTAGCTAATATTCTACTTAAGAAACGCATCACAAAAAGACATTTTCCGCAGAGAATTGTGCTCAGAAACACACATACTGTATGATAATCAGCTGGAAACACACAAAGACTCGGTTATGTCCTTGCTTCCTTGATTCATAGGAAAGTCAGCCAATTATTAACTTTGAATAATCCAAATGAGTCGTCTTGTTTCAATGCGCATGTACGTATACGAGCAAGTGAGAACATTGATTCAAATGCAAAGTCAATTCCCTTCCCAATTAAAAACAAATGTGCGGTTCACCACACAGGAGAGCAGAACGAAAGCAGAAGCGGGGGAGTTACAGCGGGGTTAAAGCAGGGCAGGCTCAGCTGAGGGGAACACTGTAGACCTCACCTCCGCCTAGCTGGAGGAACTAATGAAGTTTTGTTTATCTTTCTCTGATTTGATTTGGTGCTGGTCTGCGCCGTCGCCGTGAGATGTGGAAAGGGAGGTGAAGTGGGGTTTGCATGGAAAGAAGCTGGAAACCTGTGCGAGGAAGTGATGTATTTGTCCTCGCTTTTCCGGTATTTTTTTATTCGTCTTTCCGTTAGGTGGCCTTTTTTAAATGGATTAACAAGAGCTCTAACATGCTATCAACTTGTAATCTTTCATCCCACCTTCCTGACATTCATTTCAATGCCACGTTTCTTTCTTTTTCTAGTAAGAGGCAAATTGCCTGTTTTAAATGAGCTGGGTGGAGAGCAGTCACTCCATGGTATAATTGAACCTGTAGAAGCTGTTGTACCACAACACTGCCTGGCCAAAAAAAAAAAAAAAAAACTGCTGTTTGGATTTGAATAGGCAAATGCTTAAGAGATTGGGTCATTATTGCAGTGATTATTATGTTTTTGCATGTATGCATGTAATTTGTTTGGCAACAGTTCTTCTAACCCTAATTGATGGAGAGTGTAGCTTTTCATTTCTTAAAGAACCATATAGGAAGACACATGGCCATGTTCCAGGATGGCAAAGCCAAGATTCATCAGGCTCAAATTGTGAAAGAATGGTTGGGAGGGAGCAGGGAGAAGAATAATTTTCACACATGAATTGGCGTCTCTAAGTCCAGACCCTTAAAATCATTGAAAGTGGGATGTGCTGGAGTAGACTTTACAGAGTGCTTGACTCTTGCATTGTCAATACAAGACCTTGACCAAAAATGTATGCACCTTTTGATGGAAATAAATGTTGTGATGTTATTTCCATCAAGAGGTGCATCGATTTTTTGACTCTAAACCATTTGCCTATGTTTTTTTTTTTTTTTTTTGCCGGGCAGTGTAGTTTCCATTTAGTTCATGTTTTTTAAGTTTATGATCTCGTCACAAGCCCGCTCTCCTGAACAACAAGATTCATTGAGTCACAAATGTGAAAAATAGCAAGAATAAGGTTTAGAGTACAGCAGACTGGAACGAACAAACTAAAGTTTACACAAAGTACTATCTGTAAGTGTGTGTGGGCTGCACGTTATTCAGGAAGTGCTCAGTACCTTCTCCAGTGACCAATGTAACCCTCCCAGCGTGAACATTTCTTCTGTCTCCATCTAAGATTACTGACCTGTCATCTACAACCAATATAGGCACACAGAATCTGGGTGGAAATGAGAAATGGCTCATTTAGAAACACTGAAGGGAGATGACACATCATACCGAGACTTATCAATCAATATTTCAATAGCGAAACTGAAAAGAGGGCTCTGTGCTTGATGAATCATCAGCCATGTCTGCTAAAGACACCCTGCAGGGCAACCAACCTCTTATTAGTGTCACTCATGTCAAAAAGACATTCTAAATGGAATTTTATCAAAGTTATTGAGCGATACAGTTCCAAAACGTATAGAGCCGCCTCACTGTTTACAGTCTACACAAGCACTTATCTTCTATAGCAGCATCCCAACTGAAATGGAACTTTGTAAATGAAATGATTTAAAATGCTTTTCATATAGCAACTCCGTAAACTGTCACTTGTGTACGTGGCACAAATGGATCCATACACGAAGCACAGAGGAGACTCGACTTGTGCTCAAGTTGATTTCAATAGAGCTCAACAGTGACCGCCCATTTTTTTTCAACAGCCTTGGTTGCAGTCAGAAGTACAGTATTCTTTCCATTCATGTTGTCCACAGAGATTTTAAAATATTCCACAATAAAGAGTGTTAAGCCATGAACCAAGTCAAACAACTCTGAGAGGAAAAACACAAATGATTTCAAGCAACAACAAAAAAATCAGACAAATGTACAGCACAAAACTAGGTACCTAAATTATGTTATGAGGGAATGAATAACATCACATTAAGCATTGAAAATTACATAATTTGAATCAGAAACAAGGAATGGTCAAATTAAGTTGAAATCACACATACTTTTGGATTACATCATCATAGTGCTTGTCTTTAAAGTCCCTGTAAAGTCAAAATTAACTATGTGTTCTGAGTTTGTCACACCACAGAAAAATGTGTTATTAGCCACCCCGCCAAATTTGAATGATAAAAAAAAGCCGGCAAGTACATAAAATAAGCTATCAAAATCTTGAAAAAAATGAGCAGTATTCTCTGCTCTCAAACGCTGGGGGCGTGTCCAATGGCTGCGCTGAAGCCACGCCCACTCGCGGGAAAGCTGCCGACGGTGATATTATGACACTGCTTTCGGGACGGGGAGATGAAGGCCGAGGCGGGAGATAGTCGGTTCGGCCCCATTCACCAGTAACAGCGGATTATCAGTGAATCCCAGTTGTCTCAGACGAAAGTTTATAAAACTATCCTGTGTAAAATGATCACTACAGAGGCGGGTGTTGGCGGTGATCCTCAGCTCTCCATCAAGGTTGGCTCTTCACAAAATGAATCCACCTCTTCTTGATGTGATCGTTTTTAGGAAATTTAAATAAAGACACCGATCTGTTTAGTGCATGATCGCATCCAGGTAGTTGCCTACGCATTTCCGTGTCGAAGGCATAGCTAGCTAGCAAACTGTAGGCTGTAGTAACTAATAGTGCTGACAGTAACTCTTTAGCGATTGAGCGCCAAACTGATGCGAATGTCCTCTATTGTTAGGGGAGGGGCCAGCCTCAGTGGCCTCATGCGTCATCAAGTAGGGGCGTGTCCAGGAGCTCAGGGGCTCCAGTGCGTCCTCGAGCCCCGTTTTAGCCCCGCCCAAAAAATCCGGAAAATAGCAATGATATAATAGCAACTCCACAATTCAGTAATTCACAGTTCACAGTCTTTGTAATATGTTTTAGCAATACATTTCTAACATTTATAATGGGTTTAGAATTTTTTTTTTAGAATTGCCTTTACAGGGACTTTAAAGATTTATGCATTATTGTTAAAATGTAGACAGTAATAAATGGGATTTTACTTCTCACTGACATTACCATAACACTAAGATATGGCTTGATACCCTACAAAAATACAACACAATCAATCAATACATTTTTGGACTAGATATTTATTTTGTATCAACAGAATTTTTTCTCAGTAGTAAATAAAAAGTACTTGCCATTTCCAGAGACTGTTTTGAACTTGCCTCACATCAGTATAAAGCCTGAAATGTTGCCAAGCTAATGTTTTGCTTGTAAGTAAGCTAGATTTTGGAACAGAAATACAGTGCATAGCTGTGTATAACGACTGTAGAGATGAAGTGTGTAGCACTGGGATCCAAAAAGGCCTGTACTGTTTGTGCTTTAAACTAGCTGATTCACAGGAAAAGCTGTTAATTCATTTTTTATATGCAGAGTCCTACTCTGTGTAATACAACCTCATCGACTGCCAAACATGGGCAAACAGGCTCTGAAAACATAACACAATAACTGTTGCTTTTTAATTTCCATCATCCTCAATTCATTTAAGAATTGCAGGGACACATTTTACAATGACTCTAAATGAACAGGCTTGACGAGCTCTTATCTAGAGACTCCTCAGTTGGTCACTACTAAACACACACATGT